GGTGAACCGTTGGATGGTATTAAATTCATACGTTTCAACTTTTGACGTATTTGAAGTATTACTGTGTTAAACTCAGTTGGATTATGCCGTGGATCGTGTAGGTGTCAGCCAATTCACACTCAACAGTATAATTCTAAAAACGTTATAAATAGCCAGTAATAAATACAATACTAAACTCGCTCCCGTGTAAAACCAATTTATGAAACTCGTGAATAGTTATGGTATCTGACTCGCTTTCGCTCGTCAGGTACCAGAACTATTCCCTCGTTTCATAAAATTGGTATCACACGGGGGCTTGTTTAGTATTCTATATATACGCTGATAATACTTACATAAACGTAGATGACACTTACATATACGTAGATGATATACTTACATATACGTAGATGACACTTACATGTACGTAGATGACACTTACATATACGTAGATGACACTTACATATACGAAGATGACACTTACATATACGTAGATGATACTGACATATACGTAGATGACACTTACATATACGTAGATAATACTGACATATACGTAGATGACACTTACATATACGTAGATAATACTTACATATACGTAGATGATACTTACATATACGTAGATAATACTTACATATACGTAGATGATACTGACATATACGTAGATAATACTTACATATACGTAGATGATACTTACATATACGTAGATAATACTTACATATACGTAGATGATACTTACATATACGTAGATAATACTTACATATACGAAGATGATACTGACATATACGTTGATAATACTTACATATACGTAGATGATACTGACATATACGTTGATGATACTTACATATACGTAGATGACACTGACATATACGTAAATGATACTTACATATACGTAGATGACATTTACATATACGTAGATAATACTTACATATACATATACATGTTTTAATGTGTATAAATTCTGAACATGTATGGTTCAGGGGGAAATTGTGTTTGTTATGGGGATATTGTGAAACGATTGCTCATTTCATGTGTGTTCACCTAAATGCGTTTGGATAGAACACACCAAAGGTTTTTCCCGTTGAGGACAGATCAAACACATTCCTAATCATGTTTAGATCTAAACACGTCATGTCCGTGTCCACATCCTAAACACTTATTTGACAGTGTAAGTGCCACCGGGTAACCATGGTTACCTTGTGAGTTGCTGTCGGATTCGAGTTTGTTTTGTTCTTGGTTCTCAGTAAATCGTAGGGTAATAATAAAAGCGACAATTAGCCACAAGAAATTTCTGCTGAAAGAAGCACGGTGGAAACTTGGTGGCTGTCGTTATGTGAAGACCCAGTGTTCTAGTCCAAGAGTCACGTGCGCCCTAGAAGACCGACATCAGGATCTCATATAGCTCCCTTTGAAGTTGCATAACCTACGTATTTATCTGCTCGTTGGCGTAGACTGTTGACGTTGTTTGAAGAATTATCCCCGCTGAACAAGACAACTATCTGTTCTGTGATACGTTTTCCGTGCCAAGGAAGCACTTTTGTCATCCGACATGTATGCGAAAAAATATTTTATTATATCGAAGGACGGCACTAAAACTGTACCCGAAGGCTATAACACAGAGATGAAGCATGACAATCAAAGCGAAGGAGGGGAATAGAATAATACCTGAAGGATGGACTAGTGCGAGGAATCATGAAAATCAAAGCGAAGGAGGGGAATAGAACAATACCTGAAGGATGGAATATGGCGAGGAATCATGAAAATCAAAGCGAAGGAGGGGAATAGAACAATACCTGAAGGATGGAATATGGCGAGGAATCATGAAAATCAAAGCGAAGGAAGGGAATAGAACAATACCTGAAGGATGGAATATGGCGAGGAATCTTGAAAATCAAAGCGAAGGAGGGGAATAGAACAATACCTGAAGGATGGAATATGGCGAGGAATAATGAAAATCAAAGCGAAGAAGGGGAATAGAACAATACCTGAAGGATGGACTATGGCGAGGAATCATGAAAATCAAAGCGAAGGAGGGGAATAGAAAAGTACCTGATGGATGGAATATGGCGAGGAATCATGAAAATCAAAGCGAAGGAGGGGAATAGAACAATACCTGATGGATGGACTATGGCGAGGAATCATGACAATCAAAGCGAAGGAGGGGAATAGAACAATACCTGAAGGATGGACTATGGCGAGGAATTATGAAAATCAAAGCGAAGGAGGGGAATAGAACAATATCTTAGGATGGAATATGGCGAGGAATCATGAAAATCAAAGCGAAGGAGGGGAATAGAACAATACCTGAAGGATGGACTATGGCGAGGAATCTTGAAAATCAAAGCGAAGGAGGGGAATAGAACAATACCTGAAGGATGGACTATGGCGAGGAATCATGAAAATCAAAGCGAAGGAGGGGAATAGAACAATACCTGAAGGATGGACTATGGCGAGGAATCATGACAATCAAAGCGAAGGAGGGGAATAGAACAATACCTGAAGGATGGACTATGGCGAGGAATCTTGACAATCAAAGCGAAGGAGGGGAATAGAAAAGTACCTGATGGATGGAATATGGCGAGGAATCATGACAATCAAAGCGAAAGAGGGGAATAGAACAATACCTGAAGGATGGACTATGGCGAGGAATCATGACAATCAAAGCGAAGGAGGGGAATAGAACAATACCTGAAGGATGGACTATGGCGAGGAATCATGAAAATCAAAGCGAAGGAGGGGAATAGAAAAGTACCTGATGGATGGACTATGGCGAGGAATCATTAAAATCAAAGCGAAGGAGGGGAATAGAACAATACCTGATGGATGGACTATGGCGAGGAATCATGACAATCAAAGCGAAGGAGGGGAATAGAACAATACCTGAAGGATGGACTATGGCGAGGAATCATGACAATCAAAGCGAAGGAGGGGAATAGAACAGTACCTGATGGATGGAATATGGCGAGGAATCATGAAAATCAAAGCGAAGGAGGGGAATAGAACAATATCTTAGGATGGACTATGGCGAGGAATCATGAAAATCAAAGCGAAGGAGGGGAATAGAACAATACCTGAAGGATGGACTATGGCGAGGAATCTTGAAAATCAAAGCGAAGGAGGGGAATAGAACAATACCTGAAGGATGGACTATGGCGAGGAATCATGAAAATCAAAGCGAAGGAGGGGAATAGAACAATACCTGAAGGATGGACTATGGCGAGGAATCATGACAATCAAAGCGAAGGAGGGGAATAGAACAATACCTGAAGGATGGACTATGGCGAGGAATCTTGACAATCAAAGCGAAGGAGGGGAATAGAAAAGTACCTGATGGATGGAATATGGCGAGGAATCATGACAATCAAAGCGAAAGAGGGGAATAGAACAATACCTGAAGGATGGACTATGGCGAGGAATCATGACAATCAAAGCGAAGGAGGGGAATAGAACAATACCTGAAGGATGGACTATGGCGAGGAATCATGAAAATCAAAGCGAAGGAGGGGAATAGAACAATACCTGAAGGATGGACTATGGCGAGGAATCTTGACAATCAAAGCGAAGGAGGGGAATAGAAAAGTACCTGATGGATGGAATATGGCGAGGAATCATGACAATCAAAGCGAAAGAGGGGAATAGAACAATACCTGAAGGATGGAATATGGCGAGGAATCATGAAAATCAAAGCGAAGGAGGGGAATAGGACAATACCTGAAGGATGGAATATGGCGAGGAATCATGAACATCAAAGCGAAGGAGGGGAATAGAACAATACCTGAAGGATGGACTAGTGCGAGGAATCATGAAAATCAAAGCGAAGGAGGGGAATAGAACAGTACCTGATGGATGGAATATGGCGAGGAATCATGAAAATCAAAGCGAAGGAGGGGAATAGAAAAGTACCTGATGGATGGAATATGGCGAGGAATCATGAAAATCAAAGCGAAAGAGGGGAATAGAACAATATCGTAGGATGGAATATGGCGAGGAATCATGAAAATCAAAGCGAAGGAGGGGAATAGGACAATACCTGAAGGATGGAATATGGCGAGGAATCATGAACATCAAAGCGAAGGAGGGGAATAGAACAATACCTGAAGGATGGACTATGGCGAGGAATCTAAAATCAAAGCGAAGGAGGGGAATAGAACAATACCTGAAGGATGGACTATGGCGAGGAATCATGAAAATCAAAGCGAAGGAGGGGAATAGAACAATACCTGAAGGATGGAATATAGCGAGGAATCTAAAATCAAAGCGAAGGAGGGGAATAGAACAATACCTGAAGGATGGAATATGGCGAGGAATCATGAAAATCAAAGCGAAGGAGGGGAATAGAACAGTACCTGATGGATGGAATATGGCGAGGAATCATGAAAATCAAAGCGAAGGAGGGGAATAGAACAGTCCCTGATGGATGGAATATGGCGAGGAATCATGAAAATCAAAGCGAAGGAGGGGAATAGAACAATACCTGAAGGATGGAATATAGCGAGGAATCTAAAATCAAAGCGAAGGAGGGGAATAGAACAATACCTGAAGGATGGAATATGGCGAGGAATCATGAAAATCAAAGCGAAGGAGGGGAATAGAACAGTACCTGATGGATGGAATATGGCGAGGAATCATGAAAATCAAAGCGAAGGAGGGGAATAGAACAGTACCTGATGGATGGAATATGGCGAGGAATCATGAAAATCAAAGCGAAGGAGGGGAATAGAACAGTACCTGAAGGATGGAATATTCCTAGGAAATATGTCAAAGGTAGGGGACATGAAAGGACAGTGAGCGATCATTGTAATACGGGGAGAACGTTTGGAAATCGTAGAAAGGGGTAGTGAAATTTAGTTCGCGAATGTTAAGATATGTAACGCTGTAATACCACGAACAAAGGTCAAAATCAATGCGAGCAAAAATGAACGTTGCGTGAAAAAGTTATCAACAGGTGGCAGTGGTGCAACATTTTACATTGGAATGGTCAACCTAAGGCTTGTGTTTTTAAACCAGGCTTTCGAAAAATTGCTTACCGGCTAGGAAGACAAAATAGCAGCAGATGAGGAACACCTTCATTGTTGAGGTTAAGCTGTACAGTTAAAGAGATAACTCCCTGTTATATATCCCCTCGCATCGACCTGTAGCCATTGGCAGTAACTCATTAAAACGTAGCGCAGTATGGATTATTTTCTTGTATCAACAACTCTCATCAGCAACGGCTGGTTACTACCAATATTGACAAATATCATTTGTTTTCCATGGTCAATGAGTAGCGCAGTAACAAAACGAGCATCGATTTCACTTTTGATTAAATTTCAACTTTTTGTTAAATCCAATTTTACTTGAAAACAGTTTGTCAAACAAAATAGATCCCTTTTTTGTAAATATCTTGAACCATACGACGGAAAGTTCTGCAACTAACGATACTGGTGTGCATTCATGGAGCCTGCTTATTACTTCATAATTATTACTATCATAATTCCCCCCAAAGGCCGACACACGTCTGCCCACGATGCGGGAGTTCCTGGACCCTGCAGGTGTGGACGCCTCCTCCAGGTCGTATACATGGTCTTCCACGGCAGAAATGATGTTTTTTAACCAAAGTTCTTCCTTTACATTTTGATGAGGGTGGAAATCTGACGGTGCCAAATCTGCCGAACACGGAATATGTTGAACGAGTTCAAGGCCACGGTCATGCACGGCAGCCTTCGTGACAACTTGCTGATGCGCAGGTGCATTGACCTGGTGGAACAACACACCTTTAGTTTTAGTTGTATAGCTTGGATATTTTGATGCATTTGGTAAGCAGATTAGGATAATAGCGACTATTCATGCTCTGACCTTTCCGTTGTTGGTCCACAAGTGGGAGTCGTGTGGAATCCCAGAAAACCAAAGCCATCATCTTGCCAGCTGAAGGGACAGACTTCTTCGGATGACATGTTTGGATGTTAACATTTAACATTTTGTTAACATTTAGATGTTTAGTTTCGGGACCTGGGGCGTTTGTTTACAGGATTCAGAAACCTTGCAAAGTTCTGATCTAAAGTTCTGATCTAAAGTTCTGATCCAAAGTTCTGATCTAATATCGAACACTGCGTAAACAACTACAGGAGACTATCAAGGCTAAACGTCGTGGAAACCTCCCAAAACATGTGTTGTTCCACCAGGATAATGAAGCTGTACACGTCTGTTGTTGCCATGCTTTGAACCTTTGAACTACATGAACATCTTCCGTATCCACCAGATTTGGCACCGTCAGATTTCCACCCTCACCAAGCGTAAAGAATGAAATGCATTCTGGAAATGATGATGACGTCATGTCTGCTGAGGAGGACATTAGACGCCAACATGAAGGTGCTTTCTACAGCAGCGGGGTCCAGGTACTCCAGCATGAAGGCGCTTTCTACAGCAGCGGGGTCCAGGTACTCCAGCATGAAGGCGCTTTCTACAGCAGCGGAGTGCAGGTACTCCAGCATGAAGGCGCTTTCTACAGCAGCGGAGTGCAGGTACTCCAACATGAAGGCGCTTTCTACAGCAGCGGGGTCCAGGTACTCCAGCATGAAGGCGCTTTCTACAGCAGCGGGGTCCAGGTACTCCAGCATGATGGCGCTTTCTACAGCAGCGGGGTCCAGGTACTCCAGCATGAAGGCGCTTTCTACAGCAGCGGGGTCCAGGTACTCCAGCATGAAGGTGCTTTCTACAGCAGCGGGGTCCAGGTACTCCAGCATGAAGGTGCTTTCTACAGCAGCGGGGTCCAGGTACTCCAGCATGAAGGTGCTTTCTACAGCAGCGGGGTCCAGGTACTCAAGCATGAAGGCACTTTCTACAGCAGCGGGGTCCAGGTACTCCAGCATGAAGGCGCTTTCTACAGCAGCGGGTCCAGGTACTCCAGCATGAAGGTGCTTTCTACAGCAGCGGGGTCCAGGTACTCCAGCATGAAGGTGCTTTCTACAGCAGCGGGGTCCAGGTACTCCAGCATGAAGGTGCTTTCTACAGCAGCGGGGTCCAGGTACTCCAGCATCGCTTGCACAAGGATGTGGACCTCGGAGGGGACCATGTGGACAAATAATTTGCAACCGAATCAACGCAGTACATCAAATTTAGGATCATATCGTGTTAGCCACTTCCAGAAACATCTCGTAAGATGAGAATTTTGTTTTCTTAAATAACATTGTTATATTTGTTTTGCGTTTATGTTAACAACTTGTATTGAGTTTAACGATAACATCCCCATGTGTCTACAATGTCACCCCAAACTTGTGTATTGTTTCGCAACGGTTTCGTCAACAGACGGAGATGGCAGATCGATGATATTTCCAAATGCTAACAAACCCTGACTGGTAATCGTCAAGAAGACACGGCCGCCCGCCCCGCATGTACCTCCCCCACAACACCTGACAGTCAGCACATGGGCATCACGGCGGTATTCAGCCTATCTACCCAAAGCTGATCGGTTTCGTAAAGAGACATGCCAGTCTTCATTAAGTCAAAACATGAGGTGAAACCGGAGAGCAAGGTATTTGGTTTGTGTACTTTACAGGGTAAAGAATCAACCAAGGGTTGCTGAGCAAAGTATGGTTTTATAATGCAGCCACGTGTTGCCGAATGTGAACACCCACTCGTCAAGACAACATCTGACACACTGAGGTGAAGCCTAAAACTGGCGTTAATGCCTAAGGTTAGGTATTTAAATTTTATGTTAATCATGAATGTGCCACTGGTGGCGTGTGCCTCATCGATATATGTGACATTGATAAAATACGTTCACCCACGTATGTTAACAAGGCTACGGTATGTTGTATTTGATGTAATTTCAAAGATTGTGAGATTGTGATTCTGAGACACAAATGTAGGCGAACAACCCATGCCGCTATGGAAGTTGGCCAATTTAAAGTCACACCCACCTCCCCGATCCATTCGTCGTTAACACCATCATTTCCTCCTGACGTCAACATCGGCCACAGTCGTCCAGTCTCCCAGTAGTCCAGTCCCCAAGTAGTCAAGTCCCCCAGTAGTCCAGTACCCCACAGTCCCCCAGTAGTCCAGTACCCCACAGTCCCCCAGTAGTCCAGTACCCCATAGTCCCCCAGTAGTCCAGTACCCCATAGTCCCCCAGTACACCAGTACCCCATAGTCCCCCAGTAGTCAAGTCCCCCAGTAGTCAAGTCCCCCAGTAGTCCAGTACCCCACAGTCCCCCAGTAGTCAAGTCCCCCAGTACACCAGTACCCCATAGTCCCCCAGTAGTCCAGTCCCCCAGTAGTCCAGTACCCCATAGTCCCCCAGTAGTCCAGTACCCCGTAGTCCCCCAGTAGTCCAGTACCCCATAGTCCCCCAGTAGTCCAGTACCCCATAGTCCCCCAGTAGTCCAGTACCCCATAGTCCCCCAGTAGTCCAGTACCCCATAGTCCCCCAGTAGTCCAGTACCCCATAGTCCCCCAGTAGTTCAGTACCCCATAGTCCCCCAGTAGTCCAGTACCCCATAGTCCCCCAGTAGTCCAGTACCCCATAGTCCCCCAGTAGTCCAGTACCCCATAGTCCCCCAGTAGTCCAGTACCCCATAGTCCCCCAGTAGTCCAGTACCCCATAGTCCCCCAGTAGTTCAGTACCCCATAGTCCCCCAGTAGTCCAGTACCCCATAGTCCCCCAGTAGTCAAGTACCCCATAGTCCCCCAGTAGTTCAGTCTCCCAGTAGTCCAGTACCCCATAGTCCCCCAGTAGTCCAGTACCCCATAGTCCCCCAGTAGTCCCCCAGTACACCAGTACCCCATAGTCCCCCAGTAGTCCAGTCCCCCAGTAGTCCAGTACCCCATAGTCCCCCAGTAGTCCCCCAGTAGTCCAGTACCCCATAGTCCCCCAGTAGTCAAGTCCCCCAGTAGTCCCCCAGTAGTCCAGTACCCCACAGTCCCCCAGTAGTCCAGTCCCCCAGTACACCAGTACCCCATAGTCCCCCAGTAGTCAAGTCCCCCAGTAGTCCAGTACCCCACAGTCTCCCAGTAGTCCAGTCCCCCAGTACACCAGTACCCCACAGTCCCCCAGTAGTCCAGTACCCCATAGTCCCCCAGTAGTCCAGTACCCCACAGTCCCCCAGTAGTCCTGTACCCCACAGTCCCCCAGTACACCAGTACCCCATAGTCCCCCAGTACACCAGTACCCCATAGTCCCCCAGTACACCAGTACCCCACAGTCTCCCAGTAGTCCAGTACCCCACAGTCCCCCAGTAGTCCAGTACCCCACAGTCCCCCAGTAGTCCAGTACCCCACAGTCCCCCAGTAGTCCAGTACCCCATAGTCCCCCAGTAGTCCAGTACCCCATAGTCCCCCAGTAGTCCAGTACCCCAGTAGTCCTGTCCCCCAGTAGTCCAGTCCCCCAGTAGTCATGTCCCCCAGTAGTCCAGTCCCCCATTAGTACAGTCTCACAGTAGTCCAGTAGTCCAGTCCCTCAGTAGTCCAGTCCCCTAGTAGTCCAGTCCCCCAGTAGTCCAGTCCCCCAGTAGTCCAGTAGTCCAGTCCCCCAGTATTCCAGTCCCCCACTAGTCCAGTCCCCTAGTAGTCTAATCCCCCAGTATTCCAGTCCCCTAGTAGTCCAGTCTCCCAGTTCTCCAGTCCCCCAGTGGTCCTGTCCTCTAGTAGTCAAGTACTCCAGTCCCCCAGTAGTCCAGTCCCCTAGTAGTCCAGTCCCCTAGTAGTCCAGTCCCCCAGTAGTCCAGTACCCCATAGTCCCCCAGTACACCAGTACCCCATAGTCCCCCAGTAGTCCAGTCCCCCAGTAGTCCAGTACCCCATAGTCCCCCAGTAGTCCAGTACCCCACAGTCCCCCAGTAGTCCAGTACCCCATAGTCCCCCAGTAGTCAAGTCCCCCAGTAGTCCCCCAGTAGTCCAGTACCCAATAGTCCCCCAGTACACCAGTACCCCATAGTCCCCCAGTAGTCCAGTCCCCCAGTAGTCCAGTACCCCATAGTCCCCCAGTAGTCAAGTCCCCCAGTAGTCCAGTACCCCATAGTCCCCCAGTAGTCCCCCAGTACACCAGTACCCCATAGTCCCCCAGTAGTCCAGTCCCCCAGTAGTCCAGTACCCCATAGTCCCC